TTGTTTGTTTTGCTTGTTTGAAGCGCTCCCTAGAAGGAGACATCACATCTACAGTGCAAATCCTGAAGGAATCAGCCTGGGCAGCAGGAGGGCTTCTACAAAAATCTTTGTTCAGAATGAAACTAAGGGCCATCAACTGACAGGCAGTGATCTGCAGCCCCAAGAACACTCTGCCCCCATTCAGGAGGCGGCATCAGCATCTGCTTTACTGGACAAACGTGCAGCAGAGAATAGTCTCCATAAAACAAAACCAGCCTTTGGACTATCAAGTTTATTTGCAGCCAGCTTTGGGAAGGGGTGGAAGAAAGGAAGGTCGCTGCATTGCAAATTACAGACTACTTTCCCAATATTGATTTCACATAATGAGACAACTCAAGCCCAGCCAACGTTACCACCCTGTCCTCCTTTCTAGCTGACTACCCTCTACTTGTTTCTTCTTTGGGAAATGCCTTTTATCATTCCAGTGTAAGTGGCTTCATTGGAGACCCAGGTTCACATCCGTCTGCTGCCTGAAGGGATTCAAGCCCATGTGCCCCATCTCACTGGGAAATGTTTCTGGCTACCTGCAGTGATGGTGGCCTCCATCCAGCTTAGCTGGGTAAGAGGTTCCATGTGCGCAGCAGAGCCAGGCAGAGCTGGCAGGAGAGGTGGGAAGAAATGGTTTCTTAAGAATAGGAGCCAGACAGAAAGTTCAAGTTAAGCCTAATAACTGAGAAACTCAAATATCAAAACCAGATATATAAAACAACCCCCCAGAATCAAGCCAGTAGGCAAAGAAGGACAAGGTGCCTTGCACCCGTGGTTTACATGATAAAAACAGTGAGGCAGATTCATGTAATTCTACTATCAAGCAAGGAGCTGCTCTGGGAGGGTGCTTGGCCCTGTGCTTGGACCTCTGCTTTTAGCAGGCCAGTGGCCATCACACACCCAGCCCTGGTGAGGTCTGCAAGTTCAAGCGGTCCTTCGAAACAGGCAGCAGAATGTGGCAGGTCACTGATGCCCACAGCTAATGAGCAGTCAGCTCTCAGACCCTGCTGGCTGGTTGTTCTGCTGTGTTTATTACCCAAGGTAGCCAAGAGACACGGATGAGATGTAAGCAGTGGGTGAAGGCAGCCTGAATCAGATTTCAGTCTGGTTTCATCGTGCAGCAGTCCTAGCAATAATACTGAACATATCAGTCCCCTGATGGGCCTCATGTCGTTACAGCAGGTTGGGCAGTAGGTCAGTGTCTGTTAGACTGGACCACAGCCCAGCAATGGCACCTTGTTTGCTTTGTCTCATACAGGGTCTTTGCATAGAGACATAAAAGACCTGTGCGTGACTGAGCTGCAAACTGATAAAAGCCTTGGTTTGAACAATAACTCCAGGTTGCTTCATTTGACCGACTGAGACCAATTTGTATTTGCCATTTAACAGAGTTTAAGCTTTTACCTCTCTTCCAGCATCCAGAGCCAGCCCTTTTGTTTAGTTGTATGAAGTGACTGACCAGTGTTTGTCATTCCTGTGATGTTGACCCCACTTAGGATGCTCTTTAACATCACTTGGATCTGGTGTAATTTCCTGATGTCCCTCAAGGAGATACACATATATATATATATATATATATATATATATATATATATATACACACTGTGTGTATTGCTGGGCTTTGAGGAGCAACTTTAATAAGCATACACTGTCAGAAAGCAGGGCAGGCTGCACACAAGAGGAATTCTTAAGTGTAAGTCATAGTGCAGGGAAGGAGATGGGTAAAAAAGAGCAATGGACAAGGTTTTACAAAAGTAGAAAGGGAAAAAAGGTACAACCAAAACAAGCTATTTGCCAATCATGTCCTTGGCTAATCATCTCCTCCGCCAGGGTTTTCCAAGTACTATGCTTTGCCTTGGGCAAAAGAGTAGCAATTGACAAGGAAAGTGCAGTGGGTAAGTGTGCAATAGTCACACAGTTGGACAAGTCCGAACAGCTGAGTGTTCCTCTCGAGGACACCATTCCCAGAGCACTCCTCCTTGGCTGCCACTGTGACTAATTTGCTAGAAATGGCTGGAGGAACATTCCTTGGGGATCCACAAAAATAGACGCAGCACAGCCATGAGGCTGCTCTGGGAATGAGCTGCGTGCTCAGACCCTTCAATTCAAGCCCCTCCGGAGAGCGTGTGTTTAGAACCCCTCAGCTAACCTGAGGAGCCGGACCGTGCCTCCCTCCCAGCCGGCCTAGCAGAGCTCCCAGCTCTGACTGAGTCTGGACCGGCTTGGTCTGTTTCACCCTCCCCAGGCAAGATAGGTCCCTGTCTTGAGAGGCCACCAGGGTGAGACCGCAGAGTTATCCCCTGAGCTCTGCACATCTGCATCCCTCTCATTCGTGGCTGATCTCTGGCTTCCACGAGCTCCAGCACTTTGCTGCCTCCCAGGGCTCCAGCGCTTCCTCCTTTGGCTCAGACCGAGCCTCCCAAACCAGGCTGACATCTCCTCAGCAGGGACAGGGCCCCCGCATCGCTGCTTATCGGGACCCGACCGAGCCGAACCGAGCTTCCCCATGGAGCAGTCCCAGGCTCCACATCTCCTCAGCTCCCCGAGGAGCCGCAGCAGGGGCCGAGATGCTTTTCAAGAGCTTCTGCTCCTCACCCGGAGGGGCGACGGGGCCGTGGGGGCAAAACATAACACACACCCCCCCCACACACACACACACACCGGCGGTCTGCGCGATCCGGGACCGCAGCGATGGGCGCTTCTGACCGAGGGGTGGGAGCCCAGAGCCCCGGGGCTCAGCCCGGACGATCGCGCCCGGCGATCGCGGTACGGCGCCGGCTGCCGGCTCTCCCCCCGGGCCGGCAACAGGACGGACCCCCAGGCGGAGCCCGGTTCTTCCCTCCCTCCACTCCCCGCACCTGCATGGGGCTGCTCCGCGCCGCTCCCCGCCGCCGGCTTCTTCCCCAGCACCGAGTCTGCCAAGAGCCAAGAGAGGGGCCCTGAGCTGCGGCCCCCGGCGCGCTGCAGCCAGCCCCGGCCCCGTGCCCGGCCCACCTTTGAAGAGCTCCACCTGCTTGAACTCGAAGGGGATGTTGTTGCTGCGGGCGAAGATGTAGATGGAGCGGCAGGGCTGCGAGAGCAGGTCCAGGTACAGCTCCAGCCCCATCCTGCCGCCCGGCCCGGCCCGGCCCGCGGGGAAGCGGCAGCGGCTCTGTCACCGCCGCCCGGGGCCGCCCCGCATGGGCAGGCGGGGGGAGGCGCCCTCGGGGGCTGCGGCCGGGGGGCCGCGGGTGCGAGGCTGCAGGGTGAGAGGCTGGAGGGGGCCAGGAGAGTGCTCCCGGCTGGGGCAGCATCAGCGAGGCACGGCAGGAGTGGGGGGCACACGCAGGGTCCCCCGTGGCGCAGCGCTGGGCAGCCCTGGCCACCCTAGAGCTGCGGCTGTGTGCTTCAGGGGCAGGTAACCGGAGTAAGGGTAACTTACAAGTGACGGGAGGTTAGCAGCCTCAAAGGACAGGCTGGTGCTAAGCACTGATGGAGAGGAGCTGTCATTCCGCCCCCCAGCCTTGGCGTCAGGAGCCCATTCTCACCCACAGCATCCCACCACGGCTCTCTCGGGGTAAATGCTTGTTTTCTAACGCGGTCCTGTGGGGATGTGTCACGCTGCAAACAGGGCCCTTGCGCAGCACCCTCTAAGCCAGCATTCATCTCACTCCCTAGGATCTCAGCATGGTTTTCAGTCCAGAAGATAATTCCTTGAGCACGTAGTCTCTGCCCAGTGCTGCAAAGCGATGCCTGAAGGACGTCTGTGGGCATCACGCTGCGCGCTGGCAGTGAAGTGACTTTCCTCTCCCCCACGTATTTACCATCTCGGATTTCCGCACGAACGGATGAGAACTGAAGCAGCGCAGACTGAATTCAACCCCTTCCACAGAGCCCACGGCGCTTCAGAGCTGCGTGACCTGCAGAAGTGGTTGAGCAGCGCAGGGACGCCGGGGGCTCTGGGAGATAGAGTGGCTGAACCACTCAGAGCAAAGTCACCCCCAGTCAAACCCGCCTGGGCTCAGCTGACACCTCGTTATCAGCGCTGTGCCTGAGAGCTGGTGCGGCAGGCACAGAGCCTTGGAGAGAGCCCCAGGAACCTCCGGGAGAGGGAGGCTCTTTTAGAGGATCATTAGAAAGGGTGGTGAAAAGGCTTGGATACTGATACATTACAAACAAACACTTTCAGGTGCTTCTTTTTATGCCACTGGGCCAAGACTTCAGCTCCGAGATCTCCTCAGGAATGGAGTTCACTGTGTTAGTGTTCAGTCAGGCAGAGCCTGGGGAACAAGCTGTGTCTCGACATGAAGCATTGGACCTGCTGCACCACACACCCGTTTTCAGGGTCATTGCTCAGATTCAGAACTGTGTGATAAGAGTCCCTCAGCCAGAACCGGAGCGGGGCTGTGTACCCCTCAGTTCCCTCTGCAGTTCACCCTCCAGAGCTCCCACACAAGCGCCAACACGCTGGCAGTGAAGGCTTGCACTGTGGCATGTGCTCCTTCAGTGCAGAGAGATCTCAGATGGTAAGGGAATGGAGAAAAGGAGCGGGGATGGGGCTCTGCACAGGTAACAGCCCGAGAAGCCTTTGTGCTTCAGAATGGCCACGAGTCCCTATTCATCACTGGGAAGAGTCTGTTGAGCTCAGGTGGTAGCAAGATTGGCAGCTGTGGGTTCGCTTTGCTGCTGTATTTATGGTTCAGTTGATCCACCAGTCCTGTCTGCACTTTAAGATCTCCTCATGTCCCTCTTGGAAATGCTCCTTCCTCAAGTTTTCCTCCAGTTTGGCGACTGTATTGCACAGCCCAACACAACCAAAGAGGTGTTTTCATCCGGTCATGCTACACAGCTTTTTACTGCATTATTCCTGGCTCTAGGCTAGTGCTTCTAGCCCTCTATTTTCATCCGGCTCCATCACCTCAAAGGTTGTTTCTCCAGCCTTTGCTTTCTTTATCAGCTTTTTGGAAACAGGAACAACACAGGAGACAATACAATAAGTTTTGCAGTTTATTTTAATCATTTAGAAAAGGTCACAGACTTCATAGCTGTTTTTTTAAACATTCCTCCCATTTTGTGTATCCCAGCTTCATTTTATTCTAGGAAGCGCAGACTCTCACCTATTTCCAAAGAGCTCCTGCCCAGAACTGAAGCACTTGAATCAGAACAGCACATTAAGCAGGTGACTCTCCATACTCAAGTGAAAGGGAGTGGACACCAAACAAACATTGCACTGAGGCAAGGCAAACCTCTTGCACAGCTCATTGGGGTTTGGCAGGGAGCTCTTGGGGCTTCCGGTCTATGGGAGCTGGAAACAGCCAAGATCAAATGGCACAAATGAATACAGTGAAGGAGATGGAGGGTTGGCAAAAGGAAAAGGACAAGGATAAGATGCTTTAGCTTCATGATTTAGGGTGAAAAAGGCAGCAAGGCAGATTTGTGTACAATTCTATTGTCATCCACAGAGTTAATCTGGGGATGCTTTGTTCTGCGTGCACAGCAGGGCCCAGAATGGCACCAGTCACCGCACACAGCTTCATCAGGATGGTGAACCTACAGCTCAGGTGGGCTTGGAGCAGACGGGGAACACTAGGGGAAAAGCAGTTTAAAATCTCCTCCTGTCACCATGACCGCGCTGGAGCGAGGTGTGTTCATCCTCTGGGACACTGCCAGCAGAGAAGCACCAGACAGTGAGTTCAGAATGTGGTTCCAGCTTGGTGTTCATGGCAGCTGTCCTTGCAGGAGCAGACAGTGGGTGATGTTTAAAGAGTTTGTGCCTTATTAATCAAGCAGAAAATTGGCTCAGCCTTCTCTTACATGGAGCTCCTGTGCTACAGGGATCATAGAGAAGAAAAAAGGCATTTTATGTGCTTTGGCTCATGCAGTGCTTTTGCACGCACAGCAGCTCTCTCAAGATTCTGGAGGGAGATGTGTATCGAGAAAGGCCCTGCTACCAAGGCCAGTTTGAGGTTTGCCAAGATGGGCACTCAGTGAATTGGGCTCAGATTATTTCTCTGCTTCTACTCGCACAGCTGTACGAGGCATTCATTCTGCTGGCAGGAAGTTTGCTCTCAACAAGAATGGGAAGAGCTGGAGGTCAGGAATCTGGTTCGGCAAAGCACAGATGTGCCAAGGGCAGAGTGCAGCAGGGCTCGGCAGCTTGGCTGAGGCAGAGAGGAAGGACCGCTGCGATTCCAGTGGTGCAGCAGCCCAGCTGGGGACTGCGGTAAGCTGCAGTTACAGAGGAAGCGGTGGTTGAAAGTACAACGTAAACAGGCACCATGAGCCCCAGCTTGTAATGCCTGCCTACAGCTGCTAAAGCAGCCACACAGGCTTGCATTAAGATGACTGACATCTCGCACCCAGCGTACTGTGCAGCCACCTCTGTGGATGGTGTAACCAGCCAGCAGAGACAAAGGGAATTCCAGGGACAACCAGTGCTTAACAAGGAGGAAAACCAACCCCAACTCTGCAAGCTGGAACCCTCATGGCTTGTACCTGGAAATGGAAGGTCACAGGGACAGCAGGACAGGAAGGCAGAAGGGTACAAAGGGACACACAAGGGCGAGAGGCTGCCCAGGTGTGGAGGATGACTCAGTGGATGCTTCCTCCCCATTCCTGATCACAATCCAGCTACAATGTGTGGAGAGTGTAACCATCAACTTCACTGAGAATCTGACTTGACAGGAGAGTAACTCAGCTCCTGTACTGGGCACCCTGCTCACCCTGGGGCTGGCCAGCACAGCTCCCTCTGCCACCAGTGCTGGCACAGCCTCGGCAGCGCTCATCAGTGGAGAGAGCCTGGCTTAGATGGCATCTATCGGGATGACAACGCCGCTGTGGGGAAAGGACAGAGCACTTGATATGGTTTGCAGAGGGAGACTGTGCTCGGCAGCAGCTTCTCTCAGCTGTGCAGGCTGCTCTTTGTAAGGTACTGCAGGAGTCTGTGGTTAAGCACCTCTATTTACAGGTCTAACCCCATCATTCCCGGAAGCTGGAGGCCTCACTTGGGTACCTGCACAGCTGAGGTGCTGAGTCCCTTTGCTGCCATGGGTGACACAGCAATCTCTGGTGGCTCCAGGACCTCTGGCAGGGTCCCCATCAAAGGTCAGGTCCTGACCTGCCTCTTTAAAAGAGCAAACATCTTGCAGCTGAGCGTGTGGCAAAGTGAAAGCCATTTTCTATGGTTATTTTTCTTGTTTCAGACAGATCTGTTCTGCCATAGCCCCAGGAAACCTTTGCCCTTTCTATGGTGCTGTGGCCTGGAAAACTCAAAGCAGGAATGGAAAGGGCAGTTCTGACTGGCCCCAGCTCCCAGCAGACTGAATCGCCTCTGTCCTCAAGCAGATCCAGTGGTGCTGGAGCCTGAAAGAAAAGCCCGCAGCGGTCAAGAGGAGAAAGCTCGCTGCAGCCTGAGCTCTTTGAAGCTGCAGGAAGGCTGTGACTGGAATGCATTGTGTGAATGGTGTTTCTGTAGGATTGTTTAGAAATGCTGAAACACTACACTAAGTCTGCACTGAACAATCCGGTTTACTGAGAGCATAACCCCCCGATTCAGGCTGCCTGCTTTAGGAGCTGCTGCTTGAAATTCTCCATCAGTTCAGGTGCAATCTTATCAGCGGTCAAGTTCTTGGCGTTCAAGATCCCTTCGTGTGCTTCCTGGAAGAGCTGCTTCCCCACCGCCTCTTCCACCCGCCTGCGCCACGCTGCCAACTTCGGCCTCTCCTCAAAGAGGTCGTAGCCAGCACACACGGGCTGCGGAGAGACAGCAAGAGAACCCGGGAGTGAGTCAAACAGCCACTGACAGGGATGGGACCGGGATGAAGCAAGATGCTTTTGGCTCAAGGCAGCAGCGGGTGGAACTCGGCTCTGGTTCTTAGCTCATAGGAAGCAAGAGGTGTCATCCGCAGCAGCTGCTGTCTCCTGGGACATGCAGTCAAAGAGCTAACCCAGGAACTGGCTAATGTGGAACAGAGATCAAGAGGTCTCTTTCAAATACCTGTACTTCTCCTGGTTAGTTTGTGATCTCTCTTTCTGGGGAATCCTGACCATACTTCCACAGAGAGCACTGCCCTGGCAAAGTAGGTGCTCCCTGGCAAATTATCCTCCAAGTTAGAAAGGAACAAGGTTTAACTCCACTAAAGAGTTAACTGCAGAGAGAAAGATCTGCCCTTAAGGAGGTGGTGGTGCCTGGCCTGCCCACAGCCCATTGTGCACAGCCAACAGTGCTCACCTGCATGAGCTCCACCAGTGCTACGAGGTCCGCCAGGGAGATCTCGCTGCCTGCGATGAAGGGCTTGTCCTGCAAGAACTTGTCCTCAAACTGCTTCAGGACAACGTTCAGCTCCTCAGTGGCACCTTCCAGTTTCTCTGGAGGAAGGGGCTGGCCTGTGAGGAGGGGCAGCAGCACCTGGCAGAGAGGAGAAATGAGCTGCTCTTCACAGGTTTCCCTGCAAACTTCACCCACACCCTCTCACTGCCACTTCCGAGGACCCCTCACCAGCCACGCACTAGGATAACTGGTACCCCTGATCTCCTCTGGCAGGTTAACATTGATGCCTGCCATCACTTCCTGCCTGTCCTGGTCCCCTCCCTAGGAAGTCTGGAATCTCAGCCACAAGAGTCTCCTCTCAAGGGAAGGCTGCATCATCTGCAAGCAACTGCCTCTTCTTTTCCAGTATGAGCTTTGTTCTTTTCATGGTGGTGGGCAGTGAGCTGTGCCTGGGGACAGCTGCTCACCCAGCACAGGTTTGCTCTGCACCTCACAGAGCTGTGGCTACACCAAGAGGGATTTGAGCCACTTCAGTTGGGCTCAGCCAAGCAGCCAAGTCAATTCGAGATCTGGTTTTGTTCCTGCCTTGTGTATTTGCTCCAAAGGGCCCTGCGCACAGAAGGGCCGTTGCACTCACAGCCCTTAGGTTTCGGTATATAACGTCTTACCTTCATTAAGAACAGCTTGCTCCCCTTCCCACGGATGTTGACGTGCTGCCATGACAGGTACTCATCAACCCTAGCCCTTTTCTGCAGGTCAGATGGGTACCAGTGATCAGGAGTCTTGAATTTCCGGACCATGTACAGGAGGATTGCGATGCTGCGCAGTGAGCGAGACACAGCCATGAGCTGATAATGCAAGTTTAAAGCACTTCCTCCTTTCTTCCCCCCCCCAAGTTGTGTACTGCTGGACCAGCAGCAATGCAAACCTGATCTGAGTCAGGAACAAGTGCAGGACACACAAATGTTAGTGGGGCACAGCACATGAGCTTGTGCGGGCTTGACCAGTGAACGCACAGCACGCTGGCAGAACCTAAGCATTAGGGTAAACAGCAGTGCAGCAGGGGTTTGAGCTTATTTGAACCTCACCTCTCTGCTAAGGTGAAAGAACCATCCCTCATGGCAGGCACCTTCATCAGCAGGTTCACCTTCTGGAACTCCTCTGTCTTGTGCTCCCCTGAGGAGGGAAATGAGATCTTACTTGACAGTGATGCTCAAGACCTGTCTGCAAACACCTGAGGAGTCCATGGGCGCCATCGGGCCTCAAGTTCCTGGGTTTGATTGCACAAACACAATCTTGTGTAAGTTTAAAAGCAATCAGAAAGTGCTGCAGGGTGAATAGGGAGTGGGCCCTGTGATGCCAGCTTACGTGCTTATTGCCTGTGCCCCAGAACCACCTCTCAACAAGGTCAGAATGGTTAAAAGTCCTTTCATACCAACAGCACTTGTCAGCTCTGGGCTCTATCAGCTCTGCATTTGTGCCTGGAGGTACCTGTCCCATGCAAACACAGTGCAAACACCGAGCACCTTGGAGGAAAGGGAACCTGGCGTCAGGAATGTGAACCCCAAGGACAGTGAGAAAGCAGCTGGTTTTGTTCTTTGGGTAGAGGTTTTTTTCCAATAAGTGTGATTTATAAAAGAATGTATAAATGTAATTTATATTCAAGTCGATTTTTAGTCCTCAGATGAGAATAAATGTCTATGATTCCATACAAAGCCATGGGTACTTCATTACCGATCTATCAATCAGCTCTGACTTTTGCATATCCTTTATCAGAGCACATATGGATTTGAGTTTGCTTTTAAGTGATCTTGTAGGTGCCTCCCAAAAGGTAGGCAGAGTGAACCTGGCAGGAGGAGGTGCTTTGTTCAACAGAGGTCTCAGTGTGCTCCGTTACATTTATACCCCTTCCCAGGAGCCTTGTTTTATGTGACTCGTTCATGCCAGCCTTTTCCAGCTGCTGGCTTCAGTCACACGTGTGTACCTCTGTATTCAAGCTTCTCTAACATCTGACCCTGTGCCATGTCCTGCTGTGTGAGTCACCCGAGGATCTGTGCCAGGAGAGGTGCTCCCAAAACTGTTTTAGTTTTCCGAGTACTGGGAAATCAGATCAGTGACTATTCCCCTTCACTTGGCTCACAGCCTGTCTCCACCGCCCCCTTTCACAAAGCCGCTTCCTCCATGAGGTGCGCCCATTCCAGCTCCTCAGGTGTCCCTCCAGTGTCACGATGTCTCTCTCTTCTTGCTCTTGCTACCTATTTCCTTGAGACCTACTGGGGGGGGGACACATTTAACCCACTGGCTCAAAGCTGGGTGTATGTTCCCTCACCTGGTCCTTACATACAGTGTAGTGAGGCCATGCATTCGGGGCTGGTGTGCCCATAGCTGTGTGCCCAGCAGCTGGGTGCAGGAGTGCTTCCCCACAGCTGCAGGAACGGGATGTGCCTTTAGCATTCCTGTAATCCAAATTACCCACCTCACATCCATTGACCAAAAGCAAGCACTGATGCCATGGGACACAGAGCATTCAATTTTCCTTCCTTTCAGTCCCAGCCTCAGTATTTCAGTTGTTCCATTCTCCTTGCTTGCCTGCCAGTCTCATCTCCTCTGCACCCGTGTCCCACAAGTTCATGTATTGGGGAAGAAGGGGAAGGACACCAAATGAGCCTGCCCCCAGCTACAAACAGGAACAATGTCTTTTCTGGCAGGACGGGTGGGAGGAAAGCTGCAGTTAACGTGCAGTCAATGCACAGGGGATCAGGAGCGCGGGGGAACGCCCAGAGACTGAACCACAGCAGGCCTGAGGTTTCTTTGAGTCACAAACTGGAGGTTCTTTTGTTCTTATATCAACTTCTGCCAGAGCCTTCTCATCTTTCGCTGGGTTTAAGCATTACTTACCAAGGTATTTTTACACCCAATACATTACCTTCTTTTCAACTCCAGGAGCTCTGGAAAGGCTGAGAGATTGCATTTACTGGCTTCAGTTACAAAGAAGATACTGATCTTTGGGCATCCTTTGGTGAAAATACTTGATATCTCTTGCGCAGGCTCCTACCAATGATCAGTTGGTTTTCATACAAACTAAACCACCTTCTCCTCTCCATTGTTCAGCATTCAGGCTGCTGGCAGCTGCCAGGTCTTGCTCTGCTGCCTTCACTGTCTCTGCAAGCCTGACCTCAACCCTCTCAAAACAAGATGACCACAAACAGCTTGACCGGATGAACACCCAGAGGGGTGTCAGCCTGTCCTGCCCTACAGCACATGGGGAGCCACCTGTGAGCTCTGAGCGTGAGGACCTTTCCCAAGGGGCTGCCAACCCCTGCCAAGGGGACAAAAGCAGCTCAGGAGCAACCGCTGCTGCTCACCAGAGTGTGAAGTTTTCTGAGGCAGCTGAATCAGTGAGCACTGCCCACCTCGGCTGTGCTCGCCCGCACATGGACATCCCATCTCTGCTGCTTTTGCTTTGCTTCCCACCTGAATGGGGAATGGCCTCACATCCAGAGAACCATTTTCTGATGGGGTGGGGCTGATTTCAGATACCACAACACCACAAACCTCTGCAGGGTTGTACTTGTTGCAGAGGCTCCCTCCCATAGCACCAAGGGGCAGGACTGAGCCCCCACGTCCCATCCACACCGCAGCTCTGTCCAGGGAGCCGGGTCCCGCAACCCCGGAGCTGGGACCCCCCCCAGCCCCGCTCACCCTTCATCAGCTCCACCTGCTTGAACTCGAAGGGGATGTTGTTGCTGCGGGCGAAGATGTAGAGCGCTCGGCAGGGCTGCGAGAGCAGGTCCAGGTACAGCTCCAGCCCCATCCTGCGCCTGACGCTGGTGCTTGCGCTGGTGCCGCCGCTGCTACTGCTGCCGCCCGTCCCGTCCCGTCCCGTCCCGTCGGGCCAGCCCTGTGCTCCCGGCCGGGGCGGAGCAGCCCGGTCCCTCCCGCAGGGGCGGAGCGCAGCCCCCACCGGGGCTCCCGCCCTCCGCGGTACCGGCTGCGGCCCAGGACCCGGGTCTTCAACCTCGGAGCGTGACCGCCCGTGGCGGGCAGGACTGTGCCCGTAGTGCCGAAGGGCAGTGGCGATGGCACTGCCTCAAGGCAAAGCTCCGACCAGGCTCTGCTGAGTCACCCTTGAACAGGGCTTGTTCTAACAAACTGCCCTGAACCGCTTCGATAAGGAAGCTGAGCTGAGCTGGGCTGATGTAAGGGCACGAGAGGTGCTACAACCTTGTTTTGGTCATGGGAACTCACAGCTCTTGCCTAAGAGGCCCTTACGCTTCTGCTACTCTGACACTTGCCTGGGACCCCAGTGCTGTGCAGAAACCACTCGAGAAAGCAGCCACACAGCACAGACACACAACTTCACTGCTACAAAACAGCCTCACATTGCTCCGTTAGAGGATACAACCACCCTTTCTGACACCCATCCCCAAGATTCCCAGCCCTCCATTTCAGTCCAATGCCATACATCAGCCAATGCAGGCATACATTCATTTTGTCTCACAAAATAGTAAGTCAGAGCCTCGGCGTTTCCTACTGAAGGCCTTGCAGGGTAGTTGCAGGCTGTAGCTATGTGGTAGCTCTAAGCCTTCTGCCAGGAGCAGCTAAAAATACCAGTGGCATGTGTCAAATACAGTTAGGGCTTGTGGTGATACCAGCTGACTCCAGTATGCATATTCATTTTAGACATCAGACATTTCAGTCTGCATTAACACCAATCCAACACTCACTACTGCTGCTACCGCTAGTACTGAATGGTGGAAGAAAGAATGCAGGCAAGAGAACTGCAAGAAAGGCACAAAAACCCCTTCCACCACTGCCTCCATCCTTGCACTCAGGAAATGTTATCAGACAGTTTTAAATATAAATTGTATTTATTTAAAATTAATTATTACAGTCACTTCAGCCTAGAGCAGCTCTTCAAACACGTTTCTGCTCCAGGCACCATGCAGGTGTTTGTGTGGTGGCAGCTGCACGTGCAGTAAGCCAGAACCACTTGCTGTCCCAGGTCAGAGCCAAGGCACAGGCCTCGGTTCAGTTCCATCAGGCCCACATTCAAGAGCTGTGTAATGGCTCCTCTTTACTGGTGGCAGTTTCATACACACCGTAGGATATGATGAAGTCCTCTCCGAGATAACTGTACCTCAAAATCACTTTTTTTTTTTTAAACCAGAAGCTGAACTTTATTCACAGCGACCCTGAAAGGGGAACCAGGCCTGTGGTTGACTTCAGCGATGATAAGGTTGAGGAGCCAACCATTCAGAGACAGTGTTTAATTTCTACTGTGCTGAGTAATAGTCCATGACCTGCCCCATTCAGCAGCTCCCGTGCCACGAAACAGCCTCCTCAGCATCTACTCACTCAGGCTCGCTTCTGTGCGCGCTCATTCTGTTCAAAATTAAAGTTGAGAAGGTGACTGAAGATGCCCCTGGCTCAGAGCCACACAGAAGGGACTTTGGGGAGCAATGGGACATTTTAATAATACTTTTTGCCCTAATTCTCACTTCTACACCTCAAAATCATCATTTTTCAAGGACAGATGTTAATCAGGAGCCCTCAGATTGGAGCACAGAACACTAGTCCAAATCACACAGCAAAGAAAGTCCATTATGGATCCCCAGTTTACCCATCTGGCAAGTTAAATGCTACTCTGCTTTTATCTGAGAGCTTGTTTATAAACCTTCCCACTTGTTTATAAAGCAGGGCCTGCACAAAATACTTCCCTGGTTTGGAATACCCAGCCTCTAGTCAGCATGGATGTAATTTGCAGTCTTAAAACTCTGTATGACAAAAGGGTTAACCTCTGCCTTTTGTTTGCCTTCCTCTCGGTAGTTGCTAAAATCCCAGCTCCAGAGGTAAAGAGAAAGGCAGAACAGAAACACCAAGAATCATAGAATCATTTAGGTTGGAAGAGACCTTTAAGATAGAGTTAACTATACACTTAACATTGCAAAATCTAGCACTAAACCATGTCCCTAAAGTGCCACATTTTAAATACCTCCCTGGATGTTGCCTATCTTTCCTTTAACATTTCCTCTTTCTTGCTCCACTCACCCTTTCACAGAGTATTTCTTAATGATGCAGCCACAAATGCTGACTTTGCAATGAAATGGAAATGTCCCGGTTAAAGGAGGCTGGACACTGACACTTGTCCTAGTTATGATTTGCAATTTCCTTCCCCGTTTCCATTACCTTGACTGTCTTCTGAAGGCTACACAGAGCTTCCTCATATCGCTGCACCAATGGCTTTAATGAATTGCCCTTCACTGGGTGCTTCTTGATATCTTGGATGCCAGCATCCTTCAACATCCGCAGAAACCTACGTTCCTACATAACAAAACAGACACAGGAGATGAGATACCGCGCTGCCCATCACCTAGAATACAAGCACATTCTGCAATATGCTGCCTAGTTAGGAAAGAATTGAAGTTTCCATGCACAATGCTCAGCTGACTGGAAAAGGGAGGAAGTAGAATGAATCTTTATCTTCCTTATGCCCCTACACGCGTCCTTATCAAATGAAATCCCACACCATCAACCTACCTGAATTCTAAGGACCAAGCTGAAAGCAACACCCGCTTTCCCTGCACGAGCTGTTCTTCCAACTCTGCAAATGGAAAAGGTAGTATCAAGTCAGTTTAGCCATACAGTTACTGCCATTATCAGCTCCAAGAGTCTGATTCTGAAATTCTCCAGAATCACTTACTTAAATCTGACAGTTTTTTGAGGTTAACACAGCAGGAGTAGCCCTATGTTACAAAGGATGATCATTTCCAGTGGTTGTTCACAGCTGCTGAGCCACTGCAGTTTTCTGATCATCTAGAAACCCAATACTCAGTGCTGCCCAGGACAGGATTTCTAGCTCCTGTAAAATACATTTTCTGTAATAGGGTGCTAGTTCTCTGCCTTACTCTGGTGATGCTACAGGCTTAATTTTCATTACAAAGCTATTTGCTTATTAAAGTAAAAATAAAAAATCCAAAGCTAAAACCCCTTTTCAGTGCATGTCACCTTGCCAAGTATTTCAAAGTAAACCAAGTTCAGACATCTGCCTTTTGTTCCTGGTTATCTTACCGGTGAATATATGTCCTGATGAACTGTGGCGCATCGTAGTTTATGACATAATTCACTGCTTTAACGTCAATCCCTCTTGCAGTGGCATCTGTGCTGATTAACCTGTTTTTAAATGTATAAAAAGTCATTTTCAAGTCACATCTCTTGCACTGCACACACAAGAGTAACACAGGTGAACACAGCACAACTCTTGCTAATCTCCGTTCAAAGTGGGCAGCCAGCCCCTGACCTCTGAGCAGAAGATCTGAATGGAAAGTCATTCATTAGTGTCACTGGCACTATTAGCTGCCTGCAGACACCCAAGCATCACTGCAGGCTTATCACCTGCTCCTGTGCATTAGAAGTTACTGGGTGTTTCCAGGTTCTCCAAGCATGTCACACTAAGCCAGGTGACTCCCATCACATTAGAAGTCACAAACCTGCAAGCTATCTGAACGATCCATAAAGGCACTGAACTCAGACAGTGGGGTGCTAAATTCCAGCAGCCAAGAAGGAATTTAAGCACCAGGTTTTGATAAACAGAAAAATCAAGAAAATAAATATTTACCCTTCTTCTCGGAGACATTCCACAGATTCAATCCCATACAGCTACCAAAATCACAAAGCAAGTCAAAAACACAGAGAGAAGTAAATCTGTATGCCAGTCTTATCAGGCATTTCTTTGGTAGGAAGTACCAACAACATTCATACTCTTCCAACAAGTGCCAGGTGCCAAGCACACAATAACTTAAGATTTTCAGCACTGTGTGTGTTCTGGGCAACTACATGAATAAGCAGTTGCATTTACTGCTTGTTGCAAAACAACAGAGAGAAATTCAGATTGAGGCCAGATTAGAACAGGCCAAGTTACATGCAGGGCAAACAATTCAGAAGTCACAAGTTCAAATCTCACACCCATGTCATAAACTGGTTCCTGCAGGCTTTGAGTACAGAGGACCCCATTTAATTGGGCTCTTGGTTCTACTTAGCTTTCCATACCAGAAGTAGCATATGTCATAAGATGTGCAAAACCCCCCTCATTTAAGATGCTCACAGTTGTATTTTTCCTTGTTCAAACTCCTTTATGGTTCTTTGTCTCTCATTTGGAGGTAGCAGAGAAGAAAATTCAGCTACAGGGACTCCACCAAAGGCTCGAACCAGCAGGAATAATCTGTAGGTAACCGGGATCAAACAGTCACTTCTTTACCTCTGTAACACTACTTGACAAATACCCACTATAGTGATCTCAATATATTCACCTGTGAGAAGCTTCTCTGGAGTTGGTAAAGCACAACACACGGGTAAATTTCATTGTCAGCATGAAATGCAAGAGGAGCAAAGGCTTGGAATTCAGGTCACATGGCACATAACATTGCTGCAGTCAAGAAGGAAGAAGTTAAATTACTTCTTGTCAAGGCAATCTTCTCTGAAACCCACTACCTGTCTGTGACCTATGTAGGCCTGGCTGTTTTACAACTGACTAGCAGCAGCAAAACAAGCCCCCACAATACCATCCCCTTTAGAGTAAGTCATAGTTACAGGATACAACACAAGGTGGAAATGGGAGATCTGTGCTGTTCTAATGTTCTCACCTCTCACAGCAAGTAACAACATGCACTGCCTTTCTGCCTACAAGGTGACCTGTATCTACATGCTTTGAAATACGTGTTATAGACAGCTGATAAGTGCTACTACATTATTATTACTTCATCTCTCCACTCTCTGTTGCTGGTAAACTTAATTCTGCATGAAAAAAGTTAAAAAAAAAAAATAAATACACCAATCAATCCAGTCTTCACACAAACTAATGAGAAAACAAATGTG